TTAATTTTATTTATTATTATTATTTTTTAATTTGTTATAGGGCATGTGTGCTCAGAGAGAAAGAAAAGGAAAGCGAGAAAGCAAGCCGCCAAGTTCAGGACTCAAACCACAGTCAGCCATGTAGGAGTCCAGTGCCTTAATCACCATGCCACCTGCTGTCCCCAGGAACTACTTTATTTTACTCATCAGAACAGCCTGGTGAGGTAGGAACTATCATTATCATTCAGAGGGGCAGCACCCGCCGTGGTCACACCTGTCCAGTCAGGGGCCGGGACTTAGCCCTAGGAATGTGCTGAGTAAATAGAACCATAACCCTAGCTTTATCTCAGCAGAGCCTGGGGGACAACGCTTGCTGCTACTGTGCAGGCGGCAAAACTGAGGGTCGCCCAGCAAGGAGAGGTGGCTCAGACAGTCAGCAGCTCAGGCGTCTGCCTGGAGGCATGGCCTCCTCCTTTTCCACGGCCCAGCTCCCTGGAAGGGCCAGGTGCCCAGTCAGTGTGGGTGGAAGAGCACAGAATCAGAAGAGAGGGAGGGGTGCCTCCGTTTTCTCATCCGTAAATGGGTATTCAGCTCCTGCTGCATGCCAGGCCCCCTCTACAGCCCTGAGGGGGTACCGTTACTACCTCCTGTTACAGATGAGGAGACTGAGGCTCAGAGGGGGGACTTCTCTTGCCCAAAGCCACTCAGGGAGTAAGTGGAGGAGTTACAGGCACACTCTGCCGAACCACCTGTCATGCCGCAGTTCTGCCGCGTGGCTTGTCAGTATCAGTGACATCCAACAGAGGTGTCCCCAGCCCCACGAGGATCCTGTGCACTCGACATGCAGCCAGTGAGAATGAGAAACCGAGTTCTGAATTCCCTTTCATTTATGTATACTTGAAACAGGTTTGTTTGTGATGCCTTCTTCTTTTTCTTTTCCTTTTTTTTTTTTTTTAAGATTTTTGCCACAGGGCAAGTGTGCCCACCAGAGCAAGAAGGGAAAGTGAGAAATCACACACACACACACACACACACACACGCACCCTGGGGGGGAAGGCCACTTCACACTCCTTTCCCCATTCTCTTCTCGGGATCCTAGGCACACATGCGCATGCATCCAGTGTGATTTTCAAGCCACTGGGTCTGGGGCTCAAACCACCGTTGGCCATGTGGGAGTCTGGCACCTTAGCCACCATGCCACTGCTGGCCCCTGATGCTTCTTTTTTTAACTGTCAATTTTATGAATGTAAATACAGATCAAAGATTTCCAATGACAGTGTAGCCCCTCTGCGAAATGTGCTATAAATACACCAGGATTTTGTAGCCTATGTCCACCACGATCCCGTCTCCTCCATTCTCCTCCCAGGATTCTAGGCACACACGCACACACGCCTGGCATGATGCTCAAGATGACAAGTCTGGGACTCGAACCACGGAGTCGGCCACATGGGATCCAGCATCCCAATCACCACACCACCTGCTGGCTTTTTTTTTTGTTTTTTTAACATTCTTAAGTGGTTTTAAAAACCAGTTCAGCTAACTGTGTTAAGGGAGCTGAGTCCCACACGGCCAACTGCATGGTTTGAATCCCTGCACTGGGGCTGGGGCTCAGGTGCACTCGGGAGCCAGGTCAGGGAACCTATCAGCTTAAGTGTGCTGGACATGTGTGTGTGCCCCAATCCTAGTAGGATGGAGAAATGGAGGAGAAGGGATTGTAGTGGATATGAGCTTCAAAATCCCCAGTAAGTGTGTTTTCTCTCCCACTCCCTGTCTCCGGTGAGCACACATGCCCTCTGGCAAAAAGAAAAGAAAAGCCAAAAGAAGAGTAATATGTCGTGGCACATGAAATTCACATTTTAGAGTCTTTCAGTCAAGTTTAAAAAGAAACATTTATTCATTTACATATCTATATTTATTTGTTGTAATTTTCAAGCCACTGGGTTCAGGACTTGAACCGTGGTCGACCACATGGGAATCCCATGCCTTAACCATCACACCACCTGCTGGCCCCCTTGAGTCAAGTTTTAAACAGGGGCTCCGCAGGACCACATTCATGCTTACACATTGTTTATAGCTGATTCCACAGACAGCGTCAAAACCAAGGACTCTCAACACAGACCATACAGCCCGAAAAGCCTCAAAGATGTATTACCTGGCCTTTTGCAGAATAAGCTTGCCAATCTGACACACTGGGTTAAGCAAAATGTATTATTAAAATTAATTCCACCTACCTCTTTATTTTTTTCAAATGTGGTTACCAGAACATTTTAATCATACTCAAAGTCTTCAAAACGTTCATGGAAAGCGCATACTATGATATGCATGTATCTTTTCTTTTTTTTTTGGAGAAGTTTTTGCTATAGGGCACGTGCACTCACCAGAAAAACAGAGAGAGACAGAGACAGCAAGCGAGAAATTACCCCCAGGGGGGATGGCCACGCCGCAATCCCTTCTCCTCCATTGTCCTCTCAGGATCTTGGGCACACATGCACACACGCCGGGTGTGAGTTTAAGCCACCAGTTCGGGACTCGAACCGCAATCGACTATGTGGGAGTCCAGCGACATAGCCCTTACGCCAACTGCTGGTCCCATTGGGCACATATTTGCAAGCCACCAGGTCTAGGACTCGAACCGTGGTCGGCCACGTGAGAGTACAACAATGTAACTGCTATGCCATCTGCTGGTCCCTTTTTTTGTCTTTTTAAAATTTTGCTACAGAATGTGTGTGCTCCCTAGAGAGAGAAGAAAAGTCCTGCCACAACCCCGTGTCCGTTTCCCCGTCTCCATTTTAGGCGTGCACGCACATAAGCCTGGCATGTTTCTCAGGCTGCCAGGTCCAGAACTCGAACTGCAGAGCCGGCCACATGAGATCTCCCTGTCTGAACAAGCATAGCCCAGAGCTGGCTTCTTCCCAAGACTTTTAAAAAAAAATTTTTTTTTTTTTTTAGAGAGATTTTCGCTATAGGGCGGGTGCACGCGCCCGACAGCACAAGAAACGAA